TCCTTTTGTTGAAGAAATTCATATGAATCGTCAACACAAAATAGTGCAAAACTGGGATGTCTCAGTTCATGAATACATTTCAAATAACAAATATTTTCCTAGTAAAAATGTGAAAAGTTTGGCATGCGTATGAGTACGGTATGGATTCTTTGACTTTCCTCTATCTTTTATCTGCTTAACTGCTGCTGTTCACATAACCATATGACATAAGACTGGTGACAGTTACATATAAACAAACTGAAACTGATTACATTACCCTTACAGAGTGAGGAGAAGAATAAAAGCAGAACTTGTATTATAATAATCTTTGCTTCAATTGGTGTCAGCCCTCGGGTGAGCTGAGTGAGACCTGTTCCTGGACGGTAAATGTCACTCTGTCTCTGCTCCATTTGTATGACTTGCAACATTTGATTATTTTTCGGCATTAAAGGCTGTTTTATACTGAACCTAATCTCATTATTTCTCAAGGTAATAACGCGGAGGAGTTTTGCTCGTGTCCCGAAACTGGTAAACGGATCTGGATAGAGCACAGAGGGGATCATGGATGAACTGCAACAAGTTAATATTTTATATTTCTGGGTAATTTTCAGTTGCAACTAGTTTTGGGGACAAAATACCCTGGACAGGTCGCCAGCCTATCGCAGGGCAACACAGAAACAAACAGGACAAACAGCCATGAACGCACGTTCACACCTGGGAGAATTTAGAGAGACCAATTTACCTAACAGTCATGTTTTGGACTGTGGAGGGAAGCCGGAGTACCTGGAGAGAACCCGAGCATGCATAGGGAGAACATGCAAACACCATGCAGAAAGACCAAGTTGCTACCAACTGCGCCACATTTGACTACAATAGCTTTTCACCACACATTTTCTGTACCTCCAAAGTGACTTATGCCAAACTGAGAACATCTAACATTGGCTGACTTCTTGCAACTTTTTCATAAACGGCTGATTTGTGGAGTGTAAAACTTTTTCTTTTTACCGATTATTCCACCTGATCCGAGGATCTCTTCGTCTCCTCCAGAGTTACCTTGGCCACTTCTCTAAATAATGCTCTCTTTCCTGTGCCTGTCCATTTAGGTGGACGATCATGTTATGGGATGTTTTATAGCCGCCTCAAATTCTTTTTGTTATTGCTTTCAATATTGATTGCTTGAACATCATCTGCATAGCTTTATTTTATTATTTTAAGTGCTGGCTTGTCACATAAAAAAAACCATAAACCACATTGAGGTTTGTGCTTGTGACATGACACAATTTTAAAAGTTAAATGGATTGAAAGTCTTCTGTGAAAGTGTATAGAATTTTTTTTTCATGTAAATCCAGAAAATGGTGTTTTAGTGAATTCAATATGACTGCTTAAAGAAATATAACACTTTCTTAGCACCTTGTTTTCAAGTGTTTTCTCACAGACTCTACGGTCTTTCATCAGTGCAATGCCAAGGAGGAACTAATCAGTATTTTCTGCCTATGCGGCAGAGCCGCGCCCTGCTCTCAACCCGTCTCTCCCAAACTACAGAAGCCCACATCTGGAGTGACATCACTAAGAAAACAGCCCTGTAGACAGAGTGATCCTCTGACCAGATGCATCTCACATTACTGCGCACTCTTAAGACTGAGATTGGATCCACCGAAGGTTCATTCATGACCCTACAAAACAAATCAGTGAGCAGATAGTAGGGGAGGAAAGCAAACACAAGGCCAAAATGCAGACCTTTTGAACATGAAGTGCGTCTAACCAAACATCTGAGCACCGCTGCTGTGCCAGCACCTGATAACAAACCACACATGAAGAGCAAACGTCTGACACTGGCCAGAGCAACAAAAGCACTCTTGGTACGAACCCCCTAAGGAGATCAATTTGCTCTCCTCTGGTTCCAGGCTATTCAACGGGGTTGAATAGAGGACAAAGGGCAGCTTGCAGCAGCAGGAGGTTCAGCAATGTTTTCCTAATGGGGTGTAAAGATAAACAAATGACCAGGAAGAGACATGAGGACATCCCAGACATTTTGGAGGAACCTGTGATTTACACCGGGATTATTCACCTTGATAAGGGATTATGAGTCTGAGTTTACTGAGATCTATCGCGGCTTATAAAGTATAAGTGACAGTGAGTCCTATAATTATACTTGAATGCAGGATCTCAGGGATAACAAATCAAAAAATGTTACTCACCGAGGCTTTTTTTTTTTTACATAAAGAAAAATCATCACCTAACTAAAATAATGGTCTAGTAATTTTTTGTTGAAAAAGTTTCTCTCTTTTTTTGGCAAAATCATCTTTTGGTTTTATTTCCAAAAGATGATTGAGGAAAAGAAAAAACTTTTGGCAAAAAATGGCTTCAATCGTTATATCAGGATGGTGTATGTGTGATAAAGAAATTCGACAAGATATTAGGAAGAAAATTGTGGATCTCCAGAGGTTCGATTCATCTCTAGGTGCAGTTTTCAGATTCCTGAAAATGCCATCTCCCCAAGCAAGTATGTTTCATTGAATCATGAAAACCATTGGAATGTCACAGTGTTCAGGAGGCAGAGGGGGTTTTCCTGGTCCAGCGATGAACAATCATATCTGTTAAATGTGTGAATCAACCCCAAATACTGCCAAAAAGACCTTGAGAAAAGATTCTGGCTGAAATTGGTAAAAGTCCCCATGCATAGTGAAACAACCCACGCCCAGACACTCAGAAACGAAGAACATAAGACTCCAAAAGCATACCAGGCCAGAGGTCTGCTTGGCCTTGACAGAGGGACAAAGGGTCTTCATTTTTTTTGAAGTGTTTGGCCATAATTAAGAGTCATTACCATTACATTTGGAAGAAAAGGAGGAAAACTTGGAATATTGAGATGACCATCCCAAATGTGAAGTCCTGTGGTGTCAGCGTCTTGTTGTGGGGGTGTTTTGCTTAAAAAGGAAGGAACATAATGGCTCATTATGCATCACAGCAACTTAAAGCCTGCATGGGCACAAAAGGCTCTTCCAAGTGGGCAATGATCTTAATCCTACCTCTGTTTTAGTTGCAGTGCAGATTGGTTTTAGGGACAGCAAAGTCAATGTTTTTGGAATGGCCACCACAAAACCTTGTGAGAAGAGCTGAAATGCAAGGCAGATTACAAACCTGACATAGTTACACAAAATTCATTGGACGTAATGGGACAAAATTACAGTAACACAGTTTATAAGGCAATTCAACCAAATACCAAGGAAATCTATTTATATCTCTGAGTTTATAAATAGATAACTTTGGTAACCAAAAGTTAACTTTCGGTAACTTTTAACCAAAAGTTAAAAGTTGCCTATTAACTCTTGGTTAATAGGTCGAAACTATTAACGAAAAGTGATCTTACCCATTATTCTAGGATTTAGCAAACACCTATGATTTCTGCAATGGCGAATTACTTACAGAAGAATATGATGTATTCTTATTTAATGTCACACAGTGAGGAAAAAAGTTATGTCTTTTTAAACGGCAAAAGCAAAAGTATTTTTCCAGCCTACAACACTGGAGCCAGTCATCAGCATTTGGAGAAAGTGTGATATATTTCTGAGGTTATTGGACATTTTTACAAAATTCCAAAACTGATGAAAAGATATGAGGAAAGTTGATCGAAAAGGCTCCCAACGTGCCAATAGCAACAGAAACTGCAGAAGTTTATCACAAATATCGCCTCATGTGATGAAAGTCTTCATACACTTCTGAAAGTAGCTCTATGTTTTGTTTCTTCCAATAAAACATAAAGGTGCTGCGCTTTAAGCTAAAACACATTGTTTTTTAGTACAGAAACAACAACCTACCCATGGTGAGACAGGATGGAGCAGATTTATTGTCTTGGATCACCTTTCTTCAGAAGGTACTGGTTGTAGTTAAAATTATAGACAGGTCCATATCAGTTTAGACCCACAGCCTTCAGGTGTTTGTGAGAAAGCTTAAGAGAATGTTGCTTTATTAAAGTGAGAGCGACACTCGTCCAGTTCCCCCAAACTTAATTAGACAGAAACTTTGTGCAGCAACCCAAAAAGGGCTCTGTAGCAAATACCAGGGATTGTTTCTTTCTAGTCACATATGAAAGAACGCTGAAGCAGAATAACAAAGTTCCCCAACAAAGCGTCAGTCTAAAGATTTGCACTATTAATGGAGGCATTTTATTTATTTATTTATTTTTTTTTCATTTTCCCTGGAGCAGGTTTGTTTGTTTCGTAGTTATTTGTCATTCATTAATATGTCTGGAAAGAGAGGCGGTTTTAAAATAAGGCATCTCTGTAATAGTGGACGTTTATGCTTTTGAAACTCACTATAACTGTCTTTTTAACCTATTCAGAAATGTGCATTTTAATGCCATGCAAATGTTTTAAAGTTATTTTATTAGTGTGAGGACAGCCTTGTTGACTCTAGTAATGCAGTCGTCAACCATTGCTTGCATGTTATAGATGTTCTGGTCTGCTAATCCACCACTACTTTGTGTGTAAACTCCAGTTTTGTTTTTTTTTTTTTTCCAGCTCAGATTACCTGGAAGCAGTGATTGACACCTCACTGTGGATATGAACCCCGGCTGCGCATTAATGGTGATGATCAGGGGAACTGAAGGCCACTTTAAGAGCAGACATTTAAGGCGTAGGTGTTAAAAGAAACACCGAGGGAAAACGTGCATTTCACGGTGAGCAGAGAAGAAAGAAAACTCATTGAACGGGTTAACTTTGAGTCATACCAGACTCCGCCAGAAGTAGAAAAATGAGAGAAAAAAATTCCTCCGCCACAACGACACTAAGAGCGACTACTTCTATATATATATTTTTTTACCTTTCACGCACCCTATCCACGACAAAATCTCTCTTCTCCCGCGTGATTTAAAGAAAAATGCCGATGAATGCTGCCTTAAATACATGAAGCCCGTTATTTTAAAGACGAGCCATATATTTTAATCTAACGAATAGATCCCTTGGGTTTCAGCGGAAGGATATGGTTTTGTTCGGCGGTAGTGACTCGAGCGCTCTGGCAGCGTAGAGAGGTGCGAGGCTTTTTTTTTCAGCGCTGCGGCGACGCAGATGAAGTTAACTTTTTTGACGGGGGTATTTTTTTTTCTTCTTCTTCACAGTTTTAGAGTAACAACCCGTAGAACACATGTAGACGAGTAATGGGGTTTTGTAAGTAGCCGCTGAAGCTGATTTTGAACCACTTACATTTCGCGTTAATCCTCCGCTGAGACCTTTTTTTTGTAAATTTTTTTTTTTTTGGAGAAGTAACCGTTGAAGGGGGACAGCTCAGCTTTTGGGCTGGCTGCCCTATGTGGATTTTACAGCAAATATGGAACACATACCCGGTTTCTGCCTGGGCAAGGCCCTAGTCTTGGTCTTCTACTTCGCTCGGCTGACTCTTGGTGAGTTTTCTACTTGTTGAAACTGTACAGTCGTTCACGGGTTTTTTGTGAAACACGTTTTGTTGCCTCGGCATCTGCGAGACGCGGGGCAGGCGTAGCATCACTTGCCTCGCTCGCCGCCTCGGTGCCGCCGCCTGACTTCATGGTTACGCGAAGAAGAAGTTGAGCTAAAGTTAAGAAAACCCTCTAACTTTAAGGGAAGTTCACGTTTCGGTGAATGTGGTCCTGTTTGCCTAAGAATAGGTGCGAGCGTGGCTTTATAGTAACACCTTTTACCTTTTTTTCTTTTTTTTCTTCTTTTTTTTTACCTCCTACTCATGCGTAAAATGGTTGCCTTCTTCCTAAAATGTTTAAGGAATGTGAGCAGTTTAATTCTGATAATATGGTCATTACTTGCACCACTGTCCAGATGTTTTCAAGCAGAGCGAAAACCTCAAAATGGACACTTAGCATTCATTAGGCTGCTGTGCTGAATGAGTGGAGCTGTCAGTAATGATACTTGTTTGAGTTTCATGTTTTATATGCTGCAAAATCCCTGCCTTTTCTCTTTTATCAAAGACAGTGAGCTAGCTGCCATTGTAAGGTTATCAACCTGCTGGGTTAAATGTCAAGTGCACATCTTCACAGTGTGTGGGAGAAAAAGGGCAGGAAGGGTGAACTGTAGAGATGCACTCTTGACCTGGTTTGATCTGACCGTCTGATTTCAGATTTTGACTGATTCAGATTTTGACTGATTCAGATTGCTGTATTTAAAAAAAAAAGATATTTATGCATTCAGTCGATTGCACACAGCTTTATAGAGAACAGTTGGACTTGGGGATCAGTCTTTTACTTTTGAATACAGGTTTGTTATTGTCTGAGTTGTCGATTTCTGATTTTTTACCAATTCGGGTTCCTTTTATTTTAAGTACTGTAACACAGGTAGCCATTTCAAGTTGAGAAATTATAAGATTATCCCCATTCATCAGTCAAAGCATATATCCATGGCCTGAACCTTTAATCAGTTTTTTCAGAAGTTAAAAAAACAAAAACAAAATGCTGTTTGTTTATGAGTTATTGATTGTAAATAGGGAATGCAGAATTTTGATGTATTTAATGAGCAATTAAATAAATAATCCCAAAATGGCTTCCAAAGGATTGATGTAGACTAGTGTGTTTTTGACACAAATCAAAACAAAGTGTCTGTTCATCATTACTTATTGGCTATCACTAGATTTCATAAACAGAGCAGCCATATTGGATTCTGATATTGGGTCAGGTTAGAAACCTTTCACTCCCCAACTTCAAATTGTGTCTTGCAAGTAATATGTATTCTCATATCAATCAAGCAGTAAATAGAGGAAAAGACTTTTCCCTTCTTAAAAAAAAAAAAAAACTTTTATGATATTAATGCGATCACAGCAAATCTGCGCTATACGTCATTATAGCAACAACAGTGTGTGCACTATTGCAGTTGTAAAGGATGCAATGTTGTTTCGGCTATTATATTTCAGGTGACATGCATTAATTCTCTGTATGCAAATAACATATTTGGCCAGTTGAAACAACTCTCATTGTGTATGGGTCTGCTTTCCCATACATTGGATAGAAAAAAACTTCAACTCATGGAAAGTGGTGGAGAAATGATGATGATGATGAAGATGGGAAAACAAAGAGAAAATTGGGGGAAATGTGGAGTAATTGCAACTGATATTATTGCAATATTAAATGACATGATCAAAATTGCATGTTTCCCTAAGATGCATGCCTCAGGCACATGCTGGGAAAGGAGATATTTACTACTGGAATTAGCTGGTTCCATGAATAGAAACATTTATAACAAAATATCGTCAGTATCTGTGAAATTCAGTAATTTCATACTTTTGTAATTGGCTGTTTTATACCCAAGTCTTTTGACTTGTTCCTATGGGGGAAGGTTTGGTACCTCTTTAGCAATCACTGATTTAGAGTAATTTTCTAAAATCTGATCATAGTCTACTGTAAGGAAATGAGATTATGCCACTCTGATTAAGTGTTGTCGATAAGATATAGATTACAGAGAGTTATTTTGGTTTGATCAGAGCTCATAATCCTGAAGCATTATCGGGTCCATCCATGAGTCAGAACCACATTCAGAGGAAGGAGAGTTCAGTTTAAACTTAGTTATAATTCAATTATACAAGAAAATTTCATTACAGTTAGATTGAATCATTGTATGTTCTTACTTTTTGCGAGGTCCCTAATTACAATGGAAAATAAACTTGGTTTAGTACATGGTCAAAAAAGGGTTTGTCCAGGTCCAGAATGGTAACACATCAGAACACTGTGGGGCTGATCTATGGATAATAATAATAATGCAAGTATTGGGCCTTCTTGTGTGAAATTGACTTATACTGTGTTAATTTGCTATTTTTCTTATATTTGCAATGATACCAGCTTTTATTTTCACAGACTGTAGTGTGACATTCTGCTGTGGACATGAGTTAAAACGTCGCTGTGCAGTTTTCATGCAAATGTACCAAAGTGGTAAAATATATTTTACATCAAAGGTCTGTGAAACTATTTAGCTCATATTTGATTAATGTTTGTTGGTGTTTTCTTTTTTTTTTTTCTCCTCGGTCATGCTGTTTTTTTTTCCATGCACCGTAAGTTACTTGTGAATGGTGATATCACACAAAGGACGAAAACACAATGTAGAAGTGCTGGAGGCTGTGCAAGGAGAAACACTGGAATGCTGTTGGTGTTTGACATTCCTCTCTTCTCTGTTGTTTCCCTCCCTTCTTTCTCTTAAGCACACACACACACTTACACTCGTTGCACAGGGATTTTCTTTTCTTTCTATTTTCTGTGTTTTTACCTGCTAATGATTGTTTGAGGCTCTGCGCTGTTCTGTCCCATTTAAAACTATCGCAGCCTTTAGATTTTAACCCCTAATGGAACAGTGTGTTATTTTTTGGAAACGGCAAAAAAACATGTGAAGTGGCTCCTTAATTGTGATTAAAACATTCTCGTCAGCCACTGTGCTTTGCTATCTTGTAGAGTTAAAAATGTCTTGCATATCTGTGCAAGACATGGGCCCGACTGAGATTCTTACTGTTTTAAGTAATTAGACCATGTCATAAATTCTTAAAGTTAAATGTCAGTCTCGGTTTAATTGCCTTTATTTGAAAAAAAAAAAAAAAAAAAAAAAAAAAAAAAAAAAAAACAACCCTGCAAGGTATTCAAAGTGGGTCACATATACAATATTGCAGTTTTCTACAACATTGATTTATTTTGGTGAATTTGATTTATTGATTTAGGCACAAGCAGACTTGTATAATTTATTACTGCCAATTTGAAAACTATTATACATGCTGTTGTGTTTTTAAGAGTAACAAAAAAAGAACAAACTTTATTATCTGGTTAGTTAGTCGGGTTGTGTGCTTCGGTAGCCAGACTTATATACACATGACACTTGTAGATTCAAAACTGTGGGATTTTACACAGTTACTTTGTAGTAGTGATGCGTTGCACTCCTTTAATGTCCACACCACGACTGTCTGCGCTTTTTGAGACTGGAAATATTTTTAAACACTAAAGTCCGACATTCAGCAAGCCGACTTGCTGTGCATAGCAACGGGTGGGATGCTGTGTTAAACAGTGTTTCATAAATCTGGAGATAAACTTCAGTTACTTCAGCAATTTCTCTGACATCCCATTAAAAGCACTTGGTAAAATGAAATTATAGCTTCATACGTGCCTCATTCTAATGAGGCATGTTTGCTCTTTATGAGCAAAGATGTAGACAAAGAGGTAGCTGTGTAGTCGTGTGTAGTTTTTGTGGTAAGTAACAAACAACATGTCAATCCTTAGAAAGAGAAAAATAATATCAAATTATGGAAACATGTCATAATTTATCATTCTTCGATTCAGCTTTTCAGGTATTCAACTGTGGGTTTTACATTTCTGGAATATTCACTGTTATTTAGGAATGTGACAGTTATTTATTTTTTTATAATACGGTCACAATAACACATATATTGTCTTTCTGTTGTTAGAATGGTCATATGTGGTTTGTAGAGATCCAACAAGGTCAGCCTGTAAAAGACTTGCTTTGTATTTGGGGTGTGGCACCAGCAAAGTAAAACGTCCGCAGTAGGTTTGCAAGATAATATGAATGTTTTCTGCAACATACAGAGAGTCACTTGGTGTGCAGGCTATTAAAGAGTTGCTCCTTCAAACTTTTGTACTGTGGCTGCCAGGATGTATGTTTCTTTTCCCTCACAGGGGGATCATGTGAATGACTTCAGTTACAGAAATTCTGAAACAGTCCTTAAAGGCCATTGTTGTATTTATTGAAAGTAACACAGATTCATTTCATCCTCTTGTGCATTCCGACCAAAGCTTCCCAAGCTTTCCTTATAAATTCATCTGACATTTTTGAAGTTTATGCAGGAATAGCAACAGTTTGAATTGTCATTACTAAATTGTGAAGATCTCTTATTCTCATTAGTGAAAACTGCAACCCCCCCCATGAGCAAACTAAATTAAGATCATATGTAATCATGTGTGAATATTAGGTCATCTTCTGGTGTCATAAACAACACTGCTTAAATCTTTCTATGTGAACTGAAGCCCTGGTGTGGAGTTTTTATATCATACTGTTGATTCATTGCGTTGTGGCATATAAAAGCTTTCTGGTGCATCTTCGAGAGAACATATGTGTGGCATAGATTAAAAAGGAATCAGTCTCAAAGCATTTAAGTTTGATGGCTGAGACTATTTGGAAAAGTCTGAGATTAATGCCGTCATTACTTCGATAATTACACAAAACAAGGCGATTAAAGCTGAGTGCCTCAGAGCTCAGCAAGGCAGAGGACAAGCACTTTGACTGACGACCTTCTTGAACAAGCGTCGGTGTCATTGTTGTGCCACACGACATAGTGCCACTCTTTGGGTGTGGGCATGTGGATGGCTACATATTTTAGCCTAGTGTGAACTGTAGACAAGCCACCATGCGTGTGTGTATCTGTTGGCGCTGC